TCTTCCTGCTTCCATGCTCCAGAGCGCACTGTTTGAGCAAGGATGGATGCCAGCATGCTGTGCAGTTCATGGCACACGCACATACCGAGGACGTGATCATAGCGAGGAGGAGGAAGCCAGAGACGGGCTGCCTGGTTCTCACGCTTCACTGCGGTGGTGTCACGGAGCCCCCAGGGGGCTGTGAAGGTGATGAATGTAATCATCTTGGGCCCGAGGCCACTGCGAAATAAGAGCGCGGAGAACTATAGCTAATAAATCAGCACATAAAGTCATAAAAATATATGCCAGTCGAACAAGAAAAGAAGAGGGAGGCGAACAAAGACCGGATGGGGGGATATGATGGTAGATTTCGGCCTGGCCACCGCGATTGTCATGGTAACTGTAAACCATCCGAGTGCTCCAATTGGAAGCACACACAGTCAGATTGGATACAGAAGGCAGAACGACTGTCGCCTTCCTCCAGGTGTGCTCCAAATAGGAAGACATGGGTCAGACGTCAAAGGGTGGGGAAAGACCGTGGTTCCACGAGTCTCAGAGACATCTGCAGTGACTGCTACTACGTCAGCCAGAGTGTGGATTACCCCTGGGGGGGAAAGGTCCTCACGTCAAGAGAATCTGACCACTGTGAATGTGCATTGACCCAGGGAGCTGCAGGGGACTCGATGCAAACTCGGGAAGAGGGCGCCACAGAGCAGCCAGCTTTCGGGACTCACGCCCTTCTCGGTAATTAACAGAGCCAGCGGACAGAAAATCAGTAAGGAGAGAGAAGACTTAGACAGCCCCATCCGCCAGCAGAACCTAATTGACACTTAGGGATGGCGTCACCCTCGAGCAGCAGAACACACATCCTCCCCAAGTGTCACAGCTGGTGCTAAGAGAGACCAGACCCTGGGCCGCATGCAGAGTCGTCACAGGAAGCCAGACAGAAAAGCCCCCCCACGCTGGGAAATGAACAGCACACTCTCAGTAACCCACCAGGTCACAGGGTGGGGACGGCATGGAAGCAGAAACACTGCCTCTCTCGGTGTGAGTCACCGCGCTGCTGCGCGAAAGGGACTATTTCAGCACCGAATGTGCGAGGAAGGAGACACATTCTCGAGTCAGTGGGTGATGGCAGCTTCGACCTGAAGAAACTATTCGGAGAAAAGTAGATCAGAGCCAAAGTGAGAGAGAGAGACCACAGTGGGAAGTGCTCCAAATGAAGAAAAAGACGTCAGAGACATGCTATTCAGCCAAAATCTGATTCTCGAAAAGTCCGTCAGATGATAAGCCACCTGCCACTCGGTCGTGAAGAGCAGAAGCCAGGAAAACCCCAGCGCAGGAAGTGGGCGCCTGGTTCGGTCTCTGGAAGGCTCCAGGGGCGGCAAGCGGTGCTGTTGGGTCTGCCGGTCAGAGCCCTGCTCCGTGGTGGTGATGTCGGCCCCCGTGGCAGCCGCTGTGTCGATCCATCTGGGCACGGGCTTCCTTTTTCACCGTCCCTCTCCCTTACCCATCATGCTGGCTCTTTCCAGGGACTGGTCTCTCTGTAAAACATGGTCCAGGGTGCAGGAGTCCCGCATGCACAGTCTCGTGGCCCTTGCTTTTAAAGAGCACCTGGCCATATTCCTCCAAGGGGGATGTGCTGCTGGTTCGGGCAGCCATGCTACCTTCAGTCTCTGGCTTCAGGACGCTAGTTCCAGCGCATCGTTCTCCCGCGCTCCCCTTCATTCTCCCGCTTTCACCCGCATGGGAGGCCACTGAAACTGCCACAGATTGGGCCCGTGGGTCCACCTTCGTCCTGAAGGTGACACCCTGCCTGATCGCTGGGAAGAAGGGGTCAGTGCGTATGCCCTTTGATTTCCTGACTGCAACTTAGCCGGGCACTGGCCGTGGGTCTAAGCAAGATCGCATCCTTGATGTCGTCAGTCTTCCTCGTGTAGCATGATGTTCCTTGTTGGGGCGGTCGTGAAGATTCTGGTCTTCCCACTGGGTTGCAGTGCACCACGAAGGCTGCCGTGCGTCCTTGATCTTCATCAGCAAGTGCTGCAAGTCCTCCTTGCCTCTGCCAACAAGACACATCATCTGAGTAGTGAAGACTGGTAGTAAGCCTTCCTCCAGACCTGATGTCACGCTCTTCGGGTGGCCCAGCTTCTCAGAGTGTTAGCTTAGCATGCAGATTGAATACATGTGGTGGAAGGCTGCCCCCCTGGCACAGCCCCCTCTCCTGGAACCCAGGAGAGCGGCTCCCTCTTGACGGCACGGGGAAGCAGCACAGGAACGCCAGCTCCACTCCCGGATGGGCGTATGCTGTGCCTCGAGCACAGGGCATCGACTGCCTGCCTGCCCCCAGGGACTGGCTGCCACGGGACTGCCCAGACCTGGCACGGGCTGAGGCGGCTGCTTGAGGTGGATCCATCGTGACCACTGTTTGCACAGAAAAGCGTGGAAGTTTCAACAAGGAGCCTCCTGGCACAGGGGTACAGTGCCTTGCTGCTAACTGGGAGATCAGCGCTTGGAACCCACAGCGGCTCCTTGGGGGGGGGGGGGGGGGGGGGGCAGGGAACACCTTGGAAATCTATCCTGTGCAGGTGGCAGCCTTGGAAACACTCTTGGCTGTCCTGCTCTGTCCGGTGCGTGCAATGGGGCTCTGCCACTGCCTGCTCCCTGACAAGCCTGTTGACTCAGGGCAGTGGTTCTCCACCTCGACCTTGACCTCGACCCTCTCAGACAGTTCCTCAGGTGGTGGTGAACCCCCCAACCATAGTTATTTTCATTGCTACTTCATCACTGTCATTTTGCTACTGTTATGAATTAGGCGACCCTGTGAAAGGGTCATTCGACCCCCAGGTTGAGAACTACTGGCTTAGAGTTAGGAAAGTCTGGGCCAAGCCCAGGCCAGGAGGCAGCTGCCGTTGATGGGGCACCGCCCTTCATCTGGCCGAACAGAAGGGCATCCATGGGGCTGCCCTTGGTCAAGTTTTGTGGCACAGTTGGCAGGCCAGGCCTTCCTTCCATGGCCTTGGGAAGATGCCGGCCTCTGACCTCTCAGGGCGCGGCCCCACACCAGCAGTTGCTCTGAGCCGGTGGCCCCTCGTCACCTTTAAGCCCGGCCTTCCCTGCGTCTAAGCGGCACCACTCATTGTAGATGCTGGCCGGCTGGCAAGCAGGCAGAACTGACTTCCAGGGCATTGGGGGAGGTTGGGGTTGGGGGGGAAGTGTGTGTGTCACAGCACACCAAGTGCAGGCCTTCAGTGCCGGCCAGAGGGCACATACTGAGCTGCCCTCTAGGGCACAAGTGCAGGGCGCGTCTGGACTCCTGGCACCCTAGTGTGTTGGAAGGGTTCTCACCGTGAGCCTTGGACCTGAACCAGCAGCGACTGTCCCCAGGGCGCCATGCTGCAGTGGGGTCTGCTAACAGAAGCTCTCCCTGGCCCCTCCCAGGCAACAGCTGTGCCTGGGCAGGGGGTAGCAGGTGGTGTGAGGAGTCTTGGCAGGTGGTGGGGGTGGGGGGGTAAGGAATCTGTAGCAGGCTTCTGGGAAGCACTGAGCCAGCTTCCCTGCTGCCTCCCACTGCCCAGACACTGACCGCTGAGGGTTGGCTTGGGAGACCCCTGTGGAAGCACACCCAAAGATGCAGGACCCAGGGGTGTCACCTTGCGCACGCAGATGGCCATGTTCAGTGTCTGGATGTCCATGCTGGGCAGGTTCCTATCTGAGACTGAGGTCTGTCCCCCCCTCCCCCGGCCCATCCCACCCCCCACCAGCTGGGCCTCCACTGAGAGCTGGGCTCAAGGCCGGGCTTCCCCTGCTGGCGGGGCATGGGTGAAAGGATCGTGAGTGGCCTCACAGCCCCTCCTCTCTGCTTCCCAGTCCTGCCAAGCTGACCTCGTGAAGGACAACGGCCACAAGTACTTCCTCTCTGTCCTGGCAGACCCCTACATGCCGGTAAGACCCACAGACCCTTGACCGCACTCAGGGCCTCCACCTCCTCCCGGGCACGGCGGGCCCCATCCCCCGCCCCCGAACCATACATACCTGCTAAACCAGAGTGCACAGGCAGGCAGGTGGGCCCTGGTGAGACAGCCTGTGGCAGATTAGAGAAACGCTACTGAGCCTGGGCACCTGGTGCCCCACTTTCTTT